CTGACCGATACTACGCTCATAAGCTCCTGGGTGTGGTCCGTGAGGAATTCCCGCAGGGTGAAGCGTAATTTGTCCTTTTTCAATGTTGTTTCGGCTCATGAAATCACCATCTACATAATACAGTACCTCATCAGAGTCGATGTTACTGTGGTTATATGGAGCTGGAATAGCATCCGGGTGATAATCGTACAAGCGTGGAACGAATGAACAGATCACAAACGCTGGCGTTTCGAAAGTTTGGTGAACGGGAGGTGGCTGGTGCACACGTCCTGTTAACGGTTCGAAATCGTGAATAGAGAACGCATAAGGGAAATTGTATCCATCCCAACCAGCAACATCAAATGGATGCGAAGCATAAGTATAAGAGTACAAAATTCCTTCTTTCTTGATCTTAATCAGGAAGTCTCCGTGCTCGTCGTATGTTTCCAATTCTGAAGGAGCTCTGAAATCACGCTCACAGAATGGTGAATGCTCCAACAATTGTCCAAACCAGTTACGGTAACGCTTTGGTGTGTAGATTGGGTGGAATGACTCAACAATGAACAAGCGGTTGTCCTCTGTATCGAAATCAATCTGATAGATCATTCCGCGAGGAATTACAAGGTAATCACCGTATTTAAAATCGATGTTCCCCAACTGTGTTCTTAGCTTTCCTGATCCTTTGTGAACAAAAAGCACCTCATCGCAATCCGCATTCTTGTAGAAATAGTCGCGAAGTGATTTCTTTGGTGCTGAAAGAACGACGTGACAATCGTTGTTTACCAATACTGGAACACGACTTTCAAGAAAATCGTCCACTGGTTCAACGTTATATCCCATCAAGCTGCGCATTTGCATTTGCTTGTCTTCAGCAATTTCAGGGTTAATGTCTACTTTCCCAACGAAATCTTTAACGATTGTTGGTGGATGTAAATGATACATCAAAGATGAAAAACCATCAAAACCGATAGTTCCAAATAATTGTTCGTGATGAAGATCCCCGTTTTCTTTTCTAAAAATGGTAT